ATATATGTAATATAGAGGGTAGATGTATGTATTATAGAGGGTGGATGTATGTAATATAGAGGGTGGATGTATGTTATATAGAGGGTAAATGTATGCAATATAGAGGGTAAATGTATGTAATACAGAGGGTAGATGTATGTAATATAGAGGGTAGATGTATGTAATATAGAGGGTGGATGTATGTAATATAGAGGGTGGATGTATGTAATATAGAGGGTGGATGTATGTAATATAGAGGGTAAATGTATGCAACATAGAGGGTAAATGTATATAATATACAGGGTAAATGTATGCAATATAGAGGGTAAATATATGCAATATAGAGGGTAGATGTATATAATATAGAGGGTAAATGTATGCAACATAGAGGGTAAATGTATATAATATACAGGGTAAATGTATGCAATATAGAGGGTAAATATATGCAATATAGAGGGTAGATGTATATAATATAGAGGGTAAATGTATGTAATATAGAGGGTGGATGTATGTAATGTAGAGGGTGGATGTATGTAATATAGAGGGTGGATGTATATAATATAGAGGGTAAATGTATGTAATATAGAGGGTGGATGTATGTAATGTAGAGGGTGGATGTATGTAATATAGAGGGTAGATGTATATAATATAGAGGGTAAATGTATGTAATATAGAGGGTGGATGTATATAATATAGAGGGTGGATGTATGTAATATAGAGGGTGGATGTATGTAATGTAGAGGGTGGATGTATGTAATATGGAGGGTAAATGTATGCAACATAGAGGGTAAATGTATGTAATATAGAGGGTGGATGTATGTTATATAGAGGGTGGATGTATGTAATATAGAGGTTAAATTATGTAATATAGAGGGTAAATGTATATAATATACAGGGTAAATGTATGCAATATAAAGGGTAAATATATGCAATATAGAGGGTAGATGTATGTAATATAGAGGGTAAATGTATGTAATTTAGAGGTGGATGTATGTAATATAGCGTGTAGATGTATGCAATATATAGGGTAAATGTACGCAATATAGAGGGTAAATGTATGCAATATATTGGGTAAATGTACGCAATATAGAGGGTAAATGTATGCAATATAGAGGGTAGATGTATGCAATATAGAGGGTAGATGTATGTAAAATAGAGGGTGGATGTATATATAGAGTGAGTGAGTGAGTGAGTGAGTATGGTTTTACGCCGCTTTTAGCAATATTCCAGCAATATCACGGCGGGGGACACCAGAAAATGGGCTCCACACATTGTACCCATGTCGGGAATCGAACCCGGGTCTTCGGCGTGACGAGCGAACGCTTTAACCACTAGGCTACCCGACCGCCCCTGTATATATAGAGAGGTAAGATGTATGCAATATAGAGGGTAGATGTATGTAATATAGAGGGTAAATGTATGTAATATAGAGGGTAGATGTATGTAATATAGAGGGTAGATGTATGTAATATATAGGGTAAATGTACGCAATATAGAGGGTAAATGTATGCAATATAGAGGGTAGATGTATGTAATATAGAGGGTAGATGTATGTAATATAGAGGGTAGATGTATGTGATATAGAGGCTGGATGTATAAATAGAGAAGTAAGATGTATGTAATATAGAGGGTAGATGTATGTAATATAGAGGGTGGATGTATGTAATATAGAGAGGGTAGATATATGTAATAGAGAGGGTGGATGTATGTAATATAGAGGGTGGATGTATGTAATATAGAGGCTGGATGTATGCAATATAGACATTTTTATACATTGCTTTATTTATTGGAATAAATCTATGCCCTTAATCTTAGCAGCTACCTGTTTTAAAGAATGCCAATGTTCCACAGACAAAATTTAATCACTCAGCAGCAAAACTTGTCATTCAATAAATAAGATAATGTAAGTGTTTGGGATTTTTAAAAACGAATCACAATACACTTCAAAAAGTTAAATATACACTTTATACAAATATACCACACAAATAGTATATCAGTTGCTATGTTGGCTTGGTTGATGCATGTGGATCGATGCGTGGATCGATGCTCATGATATTAATCACTGGATTGTCTGGTCCAGACTCGATTATTTACAGCCCGCCGTCATATAGCGGAGGCGGTCTCACTGATTGGAGACCTGTGCGCTGTGCATAGGACCACGTGCCACCACAGCACTTTCAAGGGACTGCATGGAAATGAGAGGGTTGACAAATTAACAAAGAGTTGTTTAAAATGTGATGCGTTCTTTTTCCCACTATATATCAACTTCAACCGTACAAATAATTACTATTAATTTTATTCATTCAAGGGCATAAATGATGGGCATTATCCTTAACTATAAAATGTCACAGCCAGAGAATTATCAGTATCGATTGTCTGCCGAAACAGATTTCACTGGGCGTAAAAGGCAAATTAGTTGTGAGTGAGTGAGTACGGTTTTATGCCGCTATTAGCAATATTCCAGCAATATCACGGCGGGGGACACCTGAAATGGGCTTCACACATTGTACCAATGTCGGGAATCGAACCCGGGTCTTCGGCGTGACGAGCGAACACTATAACCACTATGCTACCCGACCGCCCCCAAAATAGCTGTGAAAATTATATATACGGGTCACTGAAAATCGGTGATGACACCAGGTGTTCGCAAAAAAGGGTAATCATGCCCTGCCCTACCTGTAGCACCGACCAGGCAACGCGAAATACTAATAACACTTGATTGCCATGCGTGATAGCACCGTATAAGGTTTATAGAGAATAATTGATAGGTTTAACTCCTTATTGTGACAAATGGCAATTAAATGAGAACGTGGATAAGAGTAGTGATTGAGTGTAAGTGAGTATGGTTTAACGCCGCGTTTAGCAATAGTCCAGCAATATCACGGCAGGGGACACCAGAAATGGGTTTCACACATTGTACCCATGTCGGGAATCGAACCCGGGTCCTTTGGCGTGACGAGCGAACGCTTCAACCGCTAGGCTGCCCGACCGCCCCGTGGATAATAGTAAAGTGATACTATTTAGAAAAGGCCGCAGATTAAGGATGTATTAACAGTTCACGCTGAAAGTACATTCCTCGTCTACTGGCTCTTGGTTCATCAGACCGCCTCCGTGGTCTAGTGTGAGAGCGCCCGCCCGGAGAGCGGACGGTCCGGGATTCAATCCCCGGGGGAGTCATACCAAAAGTCGGTAAAATATGGTACTTGTTGTTACCCTGTCTGGCGCTCGGCACTAAGGGGCTTAAACAAGGACTGGTCGGCTCGGACACAGTATACACACACACTAACACACATACACACGTGCACTATATCAATGCAGTAATCTTGGACGCGACGTCCAACCCCATTCACACACACACACACACACACACACACACACACACACACACACACCGCGTGTTAAAGGGGAGCCATATAGTGTTACAAAGGCAGTACATACCGATTCCTTTTACGTTATTGTCTGCCCAGGAAGGAGAAAATATTATTTCTAACACAGAGCTTCAAGGGTAAATATTAATAGTATCTTGACCACACCTGGATGACCACCACCAAGCCAATAGTCCTTCATTTCCCAATGAACGTTGGTATGACGCGTGATAACGCTAACAATTCGAATAACGAATTCCCCAATGTCTAACAATAACGTCAAAGAGGGGCGGAATTTGCTCTCGTGAGAAGGCACTGTCTTCATCAGCTTCACCTACCCGCCTACCTACAATTGTGGATAAAAAAAAGCATAATTAAAACATCCTTTTTACGAAATAGGATTGTTAAGAATACTTAAACAAAAATGTCATAATTTCCACTAAAAGAACGATTTTGTAAATTCTGTAATTGTGATACTGTGGAAAATGAAGTTCATTTTCAATCTTACTCTGATGTTAGATTTTGGAAAAGATCCCAAGATCTTATTTTATGTACGCAGTAGTTGAAAAGCGTGTACATTAGTTTAATGTCAAGTACTACTTTTCTTGATACCCTCGGCGCACTTTGATCTCAAATGCATAAACAGCGTCTCACCGACCATGGGAGGGGTTTACGGGTTGTTATAAGTAGCAATCACCGTTATTTGAATCGGCCTGATGTTGCATTTTTAGTAAAACACATCTGTGACGTCATTCTATTGTTTGAACGCTCCATTATGTTTTCAGGAATGGAGAGTTGCTTGTCAACTGTACATTATCTTGAAGCAGCATTTGAATTTTTCAAATATTTTCAACTACAGAATATTTTGTGAAAGTGTAAAAGTAGGGATGAGTTTTAAGTAGGGGAATATCCTCGTAACTCTCCATTCCTTAAAAATAATGGGCCTCGGCCCCTGCTCCATTATTTTTAAGGAAATGAGAGTTACTCGGACATTCCCCTCTACGTAATGTATTGTATACATGATATGACACACGAATACAATATTTTCTCTTTCGTTAACAGTACAAAAGAAACCCAGAGATGTAATGATGAGTTCCCAAGATATTGGGCATTCTGCATCAATTAGAATTGGATCGTGAAGATCCGAGTAGAGAACAGGTCTTCAGCAACCCATGCTTGCCGCAACAGGCGGCTATGCTTGTCGTCGTAGTAGTCGTAGTGATATAAATCACTGGATTATCTGGTCCAGATTCGATTATTTACAGACCGCCGCCATATAGCTGGAATATTGCTGAGTGCAACAAACCAACAACAATTAGAATTGAACTAAAGGGTTTTGCAATGACACTATGGTCATATAAATTCGTCTACCGTAAACAAACCATTTCATCGACTTAGAATTGATTAAATATGTAACTAACTCTTTTTACAAACACTAAATGTATTTTTATATTAAAAAGTGCAGAACATTGAAATGTTTTAATTATCTGAAGTAGTCGGCGTGAGAGTCGGAGACAGATGGTGAGTTAAATGCGTTCCGTCCCACGGCCTCGGAATACGGGATCTGACGAGGGAGACTTGCCGCCAGTCTGTATTACCCAACTCTCCCCTGGGTTCACGCTTACTGGCACTTCTTTGTGCACACGGCACATAGGAGCCTTCCCCTTCTCTGTACAGCAGCTTGAAGAAAATGTGGAACGTCACTTTATTTGACCCTTATGTCCATCAACACAGTATCACACCACCCTGTTCTGACTTGACAAGGTGAGTTGAGGACAAATGGGGTTTAACGTCAAGATTATTTTACCTATATAACGACGTGCACGCAAATGGCGGTTTTCTAGTGCTAGCCCACTGTCGCAGTTTAACATGAATACCCTAGTCTGTCTAATTACAGACCCTGATACAAATATGTATCAAATACAGCCCATGCAAATCTATAATGTTTGGCAAGTCTAGATTACTGCAGTATCACTGGGCTCCCTTTTATTATATTTTTATCAAGATAACTGAACAACTGGGTTTTTTCTGTACGATATGTTCATTTCAGAGACTAGATGTTAGTCTAATGAATACCCCACTCAGACACAGTGCACTGACTCTGAGCCTGCCAGTCCTTGTTTTAGAACTTAATGCCGAGCGCCGACAGTAACAACATTTTGCCTGGGTCAGGGTAACCTAACCTTCGCTGTAACGCTAGCCTCACATAAATGATTGTCCTGATGCTTCTTGCCAGGGCTTATGATAACAACTTGGAGCTTGCCTTTACAAACATATTATCATCAGACCATTCAAACAACTCTGACAGAGTGATAGCTGGTGGGTCATATCCGGTCATGGATAGGTCACCACGTGAAGGACGCCAAGATAGAAAGGGGTGGTACCCAGCGACAGAGAGAACATATTCGCGAGTATTAACGCTTCGGCATATTACGGTGAGTAAAAGTAGCACTGGTTTCCGTTGTAACAGACGACAAACATCATGTTTACCTTTCTGATTATATATGACCTGATGAAATAGAACAGTTCCGTTATACAGAGCTATAAGTTGATTGAGTGTGCGAGTTATGATTTAGTTGTCATCGCTGTATGTGTGTTTGTTTAGCTGTTGTTTGTGAGTCTTTACATACCCAACTGTGAGTCTTGTGTATATTTCTCGACCGATGACTTTCATTCATGGGGCAATAATTGAAATCCACACGAAGACAATATAAATAATGATCATCTATTTCTAACCACTTAATGATATTGTCCTGTACACATCACCATAGAATTTGTCGTCGATTATTGTTTATTTGTTTTACGGAAAATTTGATACATCCCCCATCATCCGGTCATGCGCCATCATCCGGTCATGCGCAGTAACCTATTGCACATGTCGGCTTCGTGTAAGTTTCGAACGTAATGTCCTGTGTTTCGTGGGTATATTTTTTATTTGGGGCATTGCTTATGTATTTTGACGTTTATAACACTTCAACTGTCGAAATTCATTGCTGTGTGGGTTTTCGTTTTATAGATCATTTTAGGACCTGACGACAAAGTTCATTATGAAGTGGGGCACGGGTGGCCCAGTCGTCTAAGGCGCCGCAAGTCGCTGTGCAGAGTTATGTGCAGAGAAACCTATGATTGTGGGTTCGAATCCCGGTTTGCCCCGATTATGTTTCGAGGTTTGTCAGCACCATACCAGTGCTCGTGGGTTTCACCGAAGTGGTAAACGTCGGAGACCTGCATCACTTCGGGCTTTCCTCCCTCATTAAGCTGACACGCCGCGATATAACTGGAAAACTGTTAAAAGCGGCGTTAAACCCAACTCACTCATTCACTCACTCACACATTTTGAAGTCATGTATCACTCTACCTCCAAGGGGATTTACGGTTACCGTCACCAGCAACCTATGATTGTTGAAAGAAGCGACAAAATGGATCAGGGTGGCTTGACTGAGTCATCGAATTCCGTCTGTGAGAAATATTAACTTGACTATAAAGTGAGTTGCAAAAGAAAGTATACCAAGTTTGTTTATTATGCAATTAAAAATGGTAAGAACTGTTGTTGTTTTATTAAGTCTGGTTTACCACTCATTTCTGGAGCAATTTGTAAAGAATAATCTGTGGATAGGTAATTATGCGTATATATATATATTGGTTAAATGAAGACTGGGGTAAGAAATGAATTGCAACCACAAACCCATATAATGCTTCAAATATTGTTGATTTGCAACAAAAAATGAAATTTATTGATTTTAAAAAAAAGATCAGATTCTAAGATACTCATCAGCAGTTGTGTATAATGCGAAATGTTTTGTTATATTTTTTACGCGTTTTAAATCAAATTATATTTTTTTTAAATATGTAAAAGTATTCTTTGAGTCCTGACGGAGCGTCAGTACACTTCATTTTTGGATATAATACGGTTTTATACCGCTATTTTCAATTGAACATCAAACATATGATATAGTTTATTTTGCTCTTCAGTTTAGTGGGAGAACACTAAGTATATTTTATGTGTTTTTTAGAAACAATAATATATCTTCAATTTGTGAAGGTCAGTATTTTGATTTCGGCATAAAGTTGTTTGGATGTTTACAGACCGCGGTGATATAGTTGGAGTATTCATGCGGCCTATAACAACATTCAACTTATTCAGTTGTAACTGAGAACTTTGACTGGACCCAGCATTTTCGGCGATCGTGCCTTTCTTGATGCTAAGTAGAACGTGTATTTACTGATGTGTTCAATTGCATCTCGAGAGTGAGTGAGTGAGTTGGGTTTAACGCCGCTTTTAACAGTATTCCAGTTATATCACGGCGTGTCAGCTTAATGTGTGAGGAAAGCCCGAAGTGATGCAGGTCTCAGACGTTTACCACTTCGGTAAGCACGGGTATGGTGCTGACAAACCTAGAAACATAATCGGAGTGAACCGGGATTCGAACCCACAATCATAGGTTTCTGGCGTGTCCAGGGGACGCAACTCTGCACAGCGAATCGCGGCGCCTTAGACGACTGGGCCACCCGTGTCCCCGCATCTCGAGAGCGTTTGCAGGGGAACAAGCCGTTCTCGTGTTCCCACGCCATTTCTTATTTCTTGTTGTACTTCCTGTTTCAAAGGGGCGGTGGGATAGCCTAGTGGTTAAAGCGCTCGCTCGTCACGCGAGAGGCCCTGGTTCGATTCCTCACAAGGGCACAGTGTATGGAGCCCATTTCTGGTGTCCGCCTTGATAGTGCTGGAACTTAGCTAAAAGCGGCGTAAAAGCATACTCGCTTACTCCTGCTTCATATTATGTCGGAGAAGATCGAGGTCGTTGTGAAGAACTGTGTTAAGCATGGGGAGGGCCCCCACTGGGACGACACTACACAGTGCCTGTACTACGTGGACATGTTCGTCGACGACGTCCACAGATACAACGCCGTCACTGGACAGGACAGCCGTCTAAACCTTGGAGGTAAGTCCAGTTGCAAGCGCTTTATATAATTAGCTCTTATGTGTCAGCTCGTGTGCGAAATGTGTGCTTGTTTGTTTGTTTGTTTGTTGTTTGGCGCCGCAGCTGTTTTCTATCTATGTGACGGCGGTCTGTAAATAATTGAATTAGAACCAGACAATCCAGTGATTGACATCACCCGTTAGTCGTCACGTACGACAAGCATGGGTTGCTGAAGACTAATTCTAACCCGGAAGCGTCTGAACAATGGTGCAAGCTCATTTTATACCATACTTTGCAACAGTTTCAAATATTTCATTAATAGATTTTGAACAAAATAACAATGCGACAGTGAGAATGTCGAGGAGATGTAGGGTAGCCTTGTGGTTAAAGTCTTCACTCGTCACGCCTAGACCCGTGAACATCTGGGGTAGAATAGGTCTTCAGCAACCCATGCTTGCCGTAAAAGGCGACTATGCTTGTCGTAAAAGGCGACCAACGGGATCAGGTGGTCAGGCTCGCTGACTTGGTTGATGCATGTCATCGATCCCAATTGCGTGGATCGATGCTCATGATGTGAAGCACTGGATTGTCTGGTCCAGACTCGATTATATACAGATCGCCGTCACATAACAATAAACACTATACGACGGTGGTCTGTAAATAATCGAGTCTGGACCAGACAATCCAGTGATACATCATGAGAATCAATCAACGCATTTTACCTCACCTCAGACACAAACAAAAACTCACTACTTTTTTCTGTTGTGCGTTTTGCATCAAGTATAGTAAAACATAAAATTCAAGATGTTGGACAGAACATATCGAAATATTGCTGACATATGTATGTGTTTTGTTAAGAGTGAGTGAGTTGGGTTTAACGCCGCTTTTAACAGTATTCCAGTTATATCACGGCGTGTCAGCTTAATGTGGGAGGAAAGCCCGAAGTGATGCAGGTCGCAGACGTTTACCACTTCGGTGAAACCCACGAGCACGGGTATGGTGCTGACAAACCTTCAAACATAATCGGGTCGAACAGGGATTCAAACCCACAATCATAGGTTTCAGGCGTGCCCAAGGGACGCAACTCTGCACAGCGAATCGCCGCGCCTTAGACGACTGGGCCATCCGTGCCCCCTGATTTGTTAAGAAATGTTCAACAAATTATATTGCATTGAATGAGTACCTCTTGGTGTTCTCTGTTTTGCCAACAATCTCCAGGTTTCAAAAGACAATCGTTCCTTTTAGTTCTTCCCTCAGTGCACGCAATGTTTGAACTGTCATGTCATCATGTTTCATGCGTGGAGACTCTGTGGCGAGCGTCATCATCCCCCGCCAGAAGGGAGGCTTTGTGGTGAGTCAGAAGACAGACCTCGGCCTCTTGGACTCATGGGAGAGCGGCAAGGTCACCAGCATTGCGAAGGTCGAGGCCGACGCCAATATGTTCAATGACGGCAAAGTAGATGCTTCCGGTAGACTCTGGATTGGTAGGTTCACATTTTTGTGTCTCGTGTTGAGTGAGTGAGTGAATGTTGTTTTACGCCAGCCAGAAGCCAGGTCTGGAGGTGATCAGGTTAACAAGTAGGGTGACGTCATGATAGTAAACATTGGGACTCGAAATTTGGGTTATTGCTTTGACACTCACTGATAATCAGAATGTTGGCTCCAGGATACTGTTATACGTCTACTCTGACGTGTATACGTCTAAAAAAATGTTAATAAAGCTTTACATAATTTATAAGCTGAAAGAAATATAAAGATAAATCATCATAGGAAAATCTTATCGTCTAGTAAATTTGGACTACGAACGTCATACAATAGAAGTGCGATTATAAGGGTCACCCCTTAACCTGGCCGCCATACGTCGATAACGATTGCCGTGCATGTCCAGACTGAGGTGTCCGTATCGATATATTGATAATAACTGTCCATCAAGATAATGTCAAACAATGAATTCATTTTCTAGGAAATGGAATTGTACATGATTAATTCCATGTCTTAATTACCACTGCTGTGTCCAATCAGGTTGCCGTTATGTATTAGATTTAACACAGTACTCATAATACCTATGTATTAATCACTGAAGTAAACGTATAAAACTGTATGTCTGTATCTGTGATAGGCAGAGGTACAGGGTGGCAGTCGATTCAAGAGACGTACCAGACAGACAGACAGACAGACAGACAGACAGACAGATAATTTATTTGAGTCTCACTTCCTTACATATAAACCAGTGTCCAAAAGAAACGATACCAACTTATTTTCAAAATTGTTTTTCATTAAGTGAATTGTCTAGTATGAAAACATGCCAATTCGTATTGCACATCCCAAACACAGAATAGTCGATAAAAAATACCGGGAACACGTGATCACTTCCGGGAAAAAACGTAAATTTCGTGAAAGTGACATTTCCCTCTCTAGCATGTTCTGCACGTGCATAAAAACTGTATAAAACGGCTGATCAGACACGTTGATATCACAGCAACAAAAAGTACACAAGATATGCCACGTTTGACAGCCATCGAGAGAGAGAGAGCCGTTGGAATGGTCCAACAAGGAGCGTCACACGTCGACGTCGCCAGAAGGTTGGGCTGCGCACGCATCACTATCACCAGGTTGATGCAGCGGTTACGTCAGACAGGTCAGACGTCAGACAGGCCCGGGAGTGGAAGACCACGAGTAACCACGCCCCGTGAAGATCGTTACATCCGGGTATTACACCTGAGGAACCGCACCGTAACAGCGACGTCCACGGCGGCTACAGCACTGGGACACAGGATCAGTCGACAGACCGTCTACAGGAGACTACGGCAGTATGGTATCCGGCCACGTCATCCCTACCGCGGACCGCTCCTGACGCCTCGACACCGGAACAACAGACTGATCTGGGCCAGGCGAGTTCGACGTTGGCAACGGCGGGACTGGGCACGTGTTATGTTCTCTGATGAGAGCAGATTCCTCATCTTCAGAAACGATGGACGGCAGCTTGTATACCGACGATTTGGTGAACGTTTGGCGCCTAACTGTATCCAACAGGTCCGGCCGTTTGGAGGTGGAGGGTTAATGGTTTGGGGTGGCATATGTGGTGACGTCGAAACGATGCTTGTCGTAATTCGTGGAAACCTGAATGCACAGCGTTATCTTGATGACATCCTACGGCCTGTTGTGGTGCCCTTTATTCAGCAACAGCCTCGTGGACTCCTTTTCCAACAAGACAATGCAAGGCCACACGCAGCAAGATTAACACAGAACTTCCTTGCCAACGCCAACGTACAGGTTCTGCCATGGCCCGCATGTTCACCGGACATGAATCCCATCGAGCACTTATGGGACCACCTCGATCGGCAAATCCGACGTCGCCGTGTGCCTCCAGTCAACGTCCAGGACTTGGAACGATGTCTCCTCGAGGAACGGCAACGCATCACTCCAAACGTCATCAGACGTTTGACGTCATCAGTCCGTAGGCGTGTTCTGGCATGTATTGATGCTCACGGTGGACATACCCGCTACTGTCTTGACTTTGAGACGTGTGGTGTGACATTTCCCGTTGTTTCTGTGATCAGTGCTCTAACGAAATGTTCATTTTTCGACCCCACCCATCTTTAAAGGCTTGTCATATTGGTTGTACAGATTTTATTGAAATGAAATTTTTGTACAGATGTTGTGAAAGGATTTCTCAAATGCATAACACCAATCCTAAACTTCTGCATTGTTTAGTTTTTCTTTTATGTCGTTGCAAACAGGTGGTATCGTTTCTTTTGGACACTAGTTTATAATATATGGGGAATAAACGCTTTAAAAATATCTTAGTATAAGCATATAGTTGGTTGGTTGGTTTGTTGTTTTACGCCGCACTCAGCAATATTCCAGCTATATGACGGCGGTCTGTAAATAATCGAGTCTTGACCAGACAATCCAGTGTTTAATATCATGAGCATCGATCGATGACATGTATCAACCAAGTCAGCGAGCCTGACCACCCAATCCCGTTAGTCGCCTTTTACGACAAGCTTAGTCTCCTTTTACGGCAAGCATGGGTTGCTGAAGACCTATTCTATCCCGGAATCTTCACGGTCTAAAAGCATATAGAGTAACGAGCCAATCCCTACAGAGTTATGAGAGACTATTTACCAGTGCCTGCTCACCAAAGCTCTATCTTCTGTATGACTCATGTCTTTATCCCCAACGGTCAGCTTGGGACCTCCTTACACCATAACAGCCATCAGTAACAATTGGCACCGTGTGTTTAAATGTGTTCAAAATATTCCTTGGAAACGTGCGTAAGTAGAGATTATTTCACTGGCATGTTTGACATACTGATTTATACTGATGCAATAAGTGTAAGAATTCTTGTACTTTCCGGGGGCGGTCGGGTAGCCTAGTGGGTAATGCGTTCGCTCGTCACGCCGAAGACCCGGGTTCGATTCCCGAGATTGGTACAATGTGTGAAGCCCATTTCTGGTGTCCGCAGCCGTGATATTGCTGGAATATTGCTAAAAGCGGCGTAAAACCTTACTCACTCACTCACTGTACTTCCCGAGCGAGAGCGGGGCTAATACATGAATTCTTACACGAGTTTTTTAAGGAATGACACACATTTGAGTGTAATAATTTCTTTATTACCCCTTATTTCTTAATCCTTTGAGTTTCCCTTTAAAAAATATGCACTGATCACCACCGCTGTCCCAGAAAACCACAATTTGTCGAATGACGTCAAGAATCTTCAGCTATGACGTCGTTTCTAGTGTGACGTCATTTCGTCCTTACGTCGCAATGAATTTCGAATGACGAAAACAATGCCATCTGGATGACGACACTGTACACTGGTGCGCGAGAAGTAATATCTGCACCAGTGCACATACGATTTTTGTTAACTCGGTTACTTCTAACCCTATATTACCCACGTGGTGAAGATGCAGGTGGTAAGATACTAAATTCGTACGTCGCACGTGTGTCGTACAAGGTTGACCTTGTTTTATTCGTTTTTGATTGGATAACAGTGACCTCTGTCACACCGGGGACTACTTTTTTCATTCATAAAAAAATCGCGAGACTTCATTCATTTTGCAACTACAAGGCAGAATTGAAGAATTAATGAGAACGAGAGATATTTACCAACACTTTATTAAACCAAACAAAATAGTCACACGCATCAACTTCGGTTTGCATTATATATATAAGTTATGCATAGAGCTTCTACAAACATTATATAATCGAGCTTCGTATATCCATTTACAATGTACGACTACCGATCAATAGAGCGAGGGTCCACATGAGCGTGACGCACCCGACCACTTTCGCAACTTTCAATTTGATTTAACGTAAAAGGATAAGCGTGGTGAAATGAAGTCTGTTTAAACTATCTGGACAGATATCTAGACTTACTTAGGGTTGATCCAGTTGTGCCATCAGTGTCCCCTTCGAAGCGTATTTTGTGGCGCTGTTACGGGAGGTGTTGTTCATGAATGAACGTACACGACTGCACGACCAGATCACTAAAAGTGAACAGTTCTGATACAAATTATTCGAAAACTCGGTGGAAGTGTGCCTGACTTCTGATCTTGTGGCCCCAAACATCCCAAAATAAAAACAATAACATTCCCTATCTCTAGCTTAAAACGCTGTGAGTAGATCACGGTTGTCTTTTCTTATTCCGGTGGTGACCTTGCCCTTCGATCGTTCGAAGCTGTCACTGACATGCAAGCAGACTTGAGTTTGTTGATTTTATAGGGTGGTACAGTTAACACGAATGTCTTTGGGGAACACTCAGATTTCCCTCTTCCAAAATGGTAGAACGTGATATAAATTCAGCGGATAGATCAAGGAAACCGAACCATTTTGATTGCACAGACGGGACACCGGCAGTGCGAGTGACCGACTGTTAGTCCGATATTCAAAGCGCGGCGCTGATGTGACTTTTCAAATTTTCTTATAGGTGTCCGTCGTACTAACAACATGGCGCTTGAATTACCATAAGTTGAAGAATTTCTTCCAAAAGGATCTTGAGCGTCAGTGCTGTCAATGCCAATATTTGAGCATATATCAATATTCATGCGCAACCAGATTTTGCAACCGGTTTCAGTTTGGTCTGTCAACGAAAGAAAGTTGTTATGTATTTACACTTAAATATATATTTAACGTGGGTAAGAAATAAAATACCACACTCATTCTCGTCAGATACCATTTTTACGAAACGAGTGGACTTTCTATGGTATCTGACCGAGCGAAAGCGAGGTCATGACACCATAGGAAGTTCACGAGTTTCGTAAAAATGGTATCTGACGAGAATGAGTGTAGTATTCTCTATATATGTAATGATGACAATTAATAACACAAGACGTCATTCGTGACGTCACTTATAACACCTTAATGAAAACCATTCCAGCAAAAGATAACAGAGCTTTGGAATGGTTTGATGATCGAGAAACCAAACATTTTCTAACCTCGGAATTCCAGATCATCTGAACCTTCAGAAATACTATTTAATTAAGTGTCTGTGATTCCTCCTCGGCTGTTCCCTCAATATATGCCACATAGGTTAATCAGACCGCAGCCAATCAACATGCACAGTGCTAGCAGGAAGATTCTAAATCGAGAAATGCAACATTCATATTTAATTAAGTGAAAATTTAAGGTCGCATCGGCAAAATCTCAGTCAATACAGCGGCGAGAACAAGTCACACATCACCATCAGAAACATGTACAACAAGATTTAATACATGATATAGAGATAAGGATAGATACAAGTTTTTTTTAAATCTACACAATTATATGAACTACAATTAAAATCATGTAAATAATTCATGTTCACATTGTACTGTACAGACCAATTTCACTGAGCCATTAAAACTAAGTCCCCTCTTATACAGTGAGTGAGTGAGTATGGTTTTACGCCGCTTTTAGCAATATTTCCATCAATATCACGGCGGGGGACACCAGAAATGGGCTTCACACATTGTACCCATGTCGGGAATCGAACCCAGGTCTTCGGCGTGACGAGCGAACGCTTTAACCACTAGGTTACCCGACCGCCCCCCTCTTATACAGAGATCGTTTTGCTTCGTAAGAAACTTTCACTGTGAGTGTGTTTAATATTATATGTAAGAATAACTACCTGATAGTTTCTACCCAGGGTCTTGTTTCTGTGGCAACGGTATCGCTGACCCCAACAAGTGGCTAAAGCTTCAGGGCTCATTGTACAGCCTGGATAGTGATGGCAGCGTTAAAAAACACATCAGTAACATCAGCATCGGCAACGGCATGGACTGGACTGACGACAACAGCGTCATGTACTACATCGACTCCATCCCCAGGCAGGTCTGGGCCTTCGACTTTAACATCACAGCTGGGTCCATCAGTAAGTAGACTCTGGCACTCCCAGCAACCAGGGCCCACGTTCTGTCTTGCATTTTGTGTGTTGTTCAGTGTCCCAATGATGCAACTGCATGTAAATTCGACCTTCAGATGTTACAGACACTTGACCCGTGAAGAACCGGGGTAGAATAGGTTTTCAGGAACCCATGCTTGCCGTAAAGGCGACTATGCTTGTCGTAAGAAGCGACTAACGGGATCGGGTGGTCAGACTCGCTGACTTGGTTGATGCATGTCATCGTATCCCTATTGCGTGGAAACCCGTGAAGATCCGGGGAAGAATAGGTCTTCAGGAACCCATGCTTGCCGTAAAGGTGACTATGCTTGTCGGAAGAGGCGACTAACGTGATCCGGTGGTCAGGCTCGCTGACTTGGTTGATACATGTTATCGATCCCAATTGCATGGATCGATGCTCATGATGTCAATAACTAGATTGTCTGGTCCAGACTTGATTATTTACAGACCGCCGTCATATAGCTGGAATATTGCTGAGTGCGGCGTTAAACAACAAACAAAAAAACAAACAAACAAACTACAGACCGCCGTCATATGGCTGGAATATTGAGTGCGGCGTTAAACTGCAAACAAACAAATAAAACCCGAATCGGGATTTTCACTGATACAAATATGGTCTTAAAAGATCAGAAGGCCAGTAGAAACACAGAGTTCTCTCTGTTATAGGCAACAAGAGAACTGTAGCAGATTTCAGCTCAACTGAAATCCCAGATCTGGGTTACCCGGATGGAATGGCCATTGATACGGAGGGGAAATTATGGGTGGCCTGTTTTGACGCTGGGAAAGTTGTCCGACTCGACCCCGAGACTGGTAAGTGTGTGTAAATATTAGCGACACATAAGACATTCAATCTCATATTGCATTATCCATTAACAACGAATGATCGGATTTGTCGCCATTATTTCCATTCTCATCCAATGTTGAGCTGAGGTGATTTAAGCGCCTCTGGTATAGCGAACTAATGTTGTTATTGTTCTCATATCGGAAAAAGATCAATACATGATGTTTTTATTTGAGTTTTAATAGGGCCACTGTTGTTTGTTTGTTTGTTTGTTTGTTTGTTGTTTAACGACGCACTCAGCAACATTCCAGCTACGGCGGTCAGTAAATAATTGAGTCTGGACCAGGCCTCGCTGACTTCGTTGATGCATGTCCTCGTATCCCAATTGCGTGGATCGATGCTCATGATGTCAATCACTGGATTTTCTGGTCCAAACTCGATTATTGACAGACTGTTGGCATACACCTGGAATATTGTTGAATTTTAGTTTTAAACAACAAACAAATATACACAGTCATACGCATATTACAATAGTAATTTCACTCAATATTTGCAAATGATTTAATTCGTTGAAACGGATTGATATCTTGTCCATACAGGCAAAGTGATCCGCACTGTCAAGTTCCCATGTGAAAAGATAACTTCCTGTTGTTTCGGCGGGGAGGACTTCACCGACCTCTACGTCACATCAACGCCGTACATGATGACCGAAGCAGAATTGGAGAAAACACCACTGGCTGGGTCAATCTTCAAGGTCACCGGGTTAGGAGTTCGAGGCCGCAAAGCTAACATGTTCTCTGGATAAATGTTTTTCGTTCAATGCATTTTCAAAGACAAAGCTTTTCAACCATTTGTAAATCTGAGTTCTATGTTATGTTGGATTCTTAAGCATCAGTGTTTAGGGAGACAGCTAACGTGTTCTCTGGATAAACGTTTCTGTTCGAGGCGTTTTTAATAACACCCTTCAACCATTTCTAAATCTGATTTCGATGCCATTCGATGTTTGCATTAGATAGAAACAGAAGCTGACACATCACGACCAAGGCCCCGTTCCACAAAGCGATCTAAGCGCTAAGTCGATCTTAACTCCCATTCTTTAACACTGACTTTAGCGCTTTGTGGAACGGGGCCTTGGTCCTGAATGCCCCAACACTTACCAAATGAAATTAATATCTTGAAGCAGTCCAACTTTTTGAGATACCTCCAGTTTTATTCTGGTAAATCCGCAGCCTTCGAAATTCACGCTAGGTCGCTAGCCCGAGACTACTAAGATGTACTAGGGACAAGTAAAAATGATGACAAGTACTATTTGAGGGTTATAACAGTTCTCAATGGTTTACTTATACTACAACTTGGAATTGAATAAAACTGATAAAATATATACACGGTGTTACGTGTTGATTCAACCCATGCTTGCTGTAAAAAGTGACTATGCTTTTCGTGAGAGGCGACTAACGGAATCGGGTGGTCAGGCTCGCTGACTTGGTTGATACATGTCATCGTATCTCAGTTGCGTTGATCGATGCTCATGATGTCAATCACTGGATTGTCTGGTCCAGACTCGATTATTTTACAGACAGATGTCATAAAGCTGGTAAATTGCTGAGTGCGGCGTAAAACAACATACAAAACCAAAACGTCTGCGCTGTTTGTCAACAAACATTGCTGACCATTTGACATATGTCAAAGTAAACAAACTTGTTAAAGTGGACGGTCGGCCTCCCAGTGACAGTGCATGGGGGCGACGTCGCACTCATAACTGATTCCGATTATAAGGAATATTTACAGTGTTTGGAACGTCAGTACAAACACACGACTGGGAGATTAATCCCGTGACTTGGCACCCAAGGTGTGGGCTCAACCTGGGGACGAATGTTGTCCGATGGCCGTTAACAAGCTGTGTCGTGATGTTCGCCCGCGAGACTTTTTCAAGGATGACAGTTCATTTCATCTTGCACCCAACACACAGTTCGGGGTTAAATCTGTCGTCACTTTGTTTTAACGCCAACCCTTTAGTAGAAACAAGCTCGACTTCCTGATGTCATCCAGGGCTGGACTATCTAAAGGCAAAAGGTTGACGGATCATAGCCCGAGAAAACGAATAAATCAAACTTTATCCGACAATGGTGTCCCGGCGCATCAGATTATGCAAGTTTCGGACCATTAGAACGCTAAGTCTATGAACAGCTATTCGACCATTAATGAATTATTACAATATCAAAATATCAACAAAATTCTGTCATCTGCTATCACTCTACAGGTGTGTCTGTCAAGACCTCCAAACATCTCATATGCACATGTTCCCCATCAATGTGCTTTGTTTGTTTGTTTGTTGTTGTTTTACGCCGCACTCAGCAATAATCCAGCTATATGACGGCGGTCTGTAAATAATCAAGTCTGGACCAGACAATCCAGTGATTGACAGGCTCTCTGACCTGGTTGATGCACGTCATCAATCCAAATTGCGTGAATCGATGCTCATGATATCAATCACTGGATGCAGAGGTGCAGTGCAAAATCTGATTTCGATAAGTTGATTTTCTTTTAAAATATTGCTTTTTTCATGTTTTGAACTTAGAAATATTTAGGAGTCGAAGTCGGGGGTAATAGTGAACTCACCGCGTCAAATAAAAGACGAGACACCATTTTGTGGAGTATCAATGAGTTTATTACAAGAATCATTCAATAATTGATAATATTTTTATTTCACAAGCTCTGGTACACAATTTAAAGCATACAACGACAGTGGGGATATTACTGTGCCTTTTGAGCATGTCTTTGATAGAGTTGACAGAAGTTTTATGCTCTTCTTGTACATGGCATACATGGCACATTTTTACACAATAATACAAAGTATATGTGAGTAGTTGCACTTCTAAAATGGATCTAAATTGTCTGCATATGTCTCAAGCAGGTGTACGCGAAGGTTGTACTTTAAGCCCAATTCTTTTTTCACTGTTCATCAAAGAGCTGGTGACACATTTGGCACAGGCGTTTGTTGATGGTATTTTTCTAAAAGCGGAAATGTAACTTACATGCATATGTAATTGAAAATGAAATTTTGTATTAATATGCCCCGCATGTGTTACTATTCATTCAAAGTCTGAACTTATGAAAATAGTATGATTACAATGCTGCAGTCCTCTGGTTTAAGCGTTCTAAAATATTAAGTAAATTTCATTAAAAGTGTCATCAATCTCCGATCTTTATAACTGTAAATATTTTCTTTTGCAGTCATGTTCAAGACACTGTCATTGTATTCAGGCCTTAATCCTGAAATAAATGAATGCTTGGTATCCGAGGAAATGTATAACATTATACTCCTATATTTGCAGATACTCGTAGCAGATTCTACACTAAGATTACAAACTGCTTGCCCCAACACTGTAAGTGGGGATGGAAATCACTGATGACAAGACACAGGTAATGGTATTTAGAAACTTGGGTTATTTATCAAAAATGGGAGGCGTGGTCATATAATGGACAGGAAATTAAAGTTGTTAACACACATATATGTATCTGGGATTAATGATTTTACACTTGAAATGATTTGGACGAAGGCATGTAGTACACTCTCATAGGTAGCAAAGCCCTTATTCCGATACAAACAATACGTAAACACAATGTGACTGCTGGAAATACTTTCACAATATTTGACAGAAAAATGTATATGTTTCTACTTATGGAAATCAGATATGGAGATTTACACGAAGAGAAAATATCGATGTTGTCCATCGAGAGTTTGTACTAAATACTTGTTTCCAGTTACCAAATCTTGTGACGGATTATGTTCTTAAAAGCGCTTTGAACTGAGAGTGAGTGAGTGAGTATGGTTTTACGCCACTTTTAGCAATATCACGGCGGGGGGGGGACCAGAAATAGGCTTCACACATTGTACCCATGTCGGGAATCGAACCCGGTCTTCGGCGTGACGAGCGAAAGCTTTAACCACCAGGCTACCCGACCACCCCTTGAACTGAGAGACGTTTATCCAGAGAACATGTTAGCTTTGCGACCTCGGACTCCTAACCCCGTGACCTTGAAGAGTGAGCCAGCCAATGGTGTTTTCGACAGTTCTGCTGGGGTCATCTGGACAGCCGATGACGTGACGTAGAGGTCGGTGAAGTCCTTCCCACCGAAACAAAGCGACGTTATCTTTTCACAAGGGAACTTGACAGTACGGATCACGTTTCTGGACGGACAAAATATCAATTCATTTCAACGAACTAAATCACTTGCACTTAGCAAGATTCTATCTTTACGATGACCTTCTGCAAATAACCAAGTCTGGACCAGGCAGTTGAGTGATTGACATCATGAATATCGATCTATGCATTTGGGATATGATGGCCCGATCCCTTTTGCCGCCTCTTAAGATTAGTGGGATTACTGCGACAAACATTCCGTGGGATTACTGTGTATGACTGTGTTTGACTGTGTATGACTGTGTTTGACTGTATGACTGGTTGACTGTGTTTAACTGTGTATGACTGTGTTTGACTGTATGACTGTGGTTGACTGTGTATGACTGTTTAACTGTGTATGACTGTGTTTGACTGTACGACCGTATTTGACTGTTTGACTGTGTATGACCGTATTTGACTGTGTTTGACCGTGTTTGACTGTGCCATATATGAACCATGTCAGAATCAGCCGATCGTGTGTTCCCAATTATTATCCTTGGTTTCTCAGCACCTCATCCGCGTTCCAGGATTTTGCATAACTGGTAAATAGTTATACCATGTTGTGATATCAGTGAAATAGTGTTCCAAGGGGCGTCAAATCACAACTCAGCAATACCCTCTAAGACAGTGAGTGGATTTTTCATCTTCAAACAAACCGGTTGCCCAAGAAACTCAAATGAATACATTGTCTACATTGTATTTGTCTATTTCAGGATATTGAAGTTAATTGTAAATGAATGCATTGTCCAGATATACAGATCTTTGAGATCAATAACATACTTAGTCTGTCATACCCGAAGCGCTTATTTCTCCTCAGCTGAAGAATTGGATACCACCACAGTAAAAATGAGAAAAGTTTCGTCATATCCGAACATTGTTGAAAAAATATATTATATCCGGGTTTGTACTGGCAAGCTATGAACCGTTTCTTTCTTAATTTTCTGGTTGATTGGGCAATGTGAGACCGAATCTTATTAGAGCAACATTGGTAGATTGACTTGCTTTTCCCCGCAAATGTTCAATGTGTCGCTAATATTTACACCCACTTACCAGTCGTGGGGTCGATTCGGAGAACTTTCCCACCCTCATAGGCGGCAACCCATAATTTTCCTTCCGTATCAATGTTCATTCCGTCCGGGATAGCCAGTGCTGGGATATCTGAAAATCTGCTGAAATCTGTCACAGTTCTCTTGTTGCCTGAAAACAAACAGTAGCTTAATAGAAAGGTGTTTGTCCTGACCCTCTGAACAAAACATCCCGATTCAGCCTCAGGATAAAGTGGAAGTTTAACTGAACCCTGGATAGCATTCGGCTTCACTCGGCTAGTTCCGCTACCTGTGCAATGCATCGTCAAGCAATGGACTAGTGATGTTGTAAATGTAATATATATTGTCAATGCAAGAGCATAACCTATCTATTTTACCCGCGGACACATTAATATTTGGTTAAAGGGCACTTTAGCTGTGACAACTATGAATGGACGGCTGAAAACTAGTGATGACACCAGGTGTTCGCGAACAGGGTAAGAAATCACAGATCCCACCGCAAAAGGTTTGTACAACATGACGATAACGTTTGCGTTCACCTCATATATTTCTATCTGTATCACCTGTTACGACTCGGTAGCAACAACTGCAGAATCCACAATGGATTTTAAATATAGTTCATGTAGCAGAGTGTCTAAAAATGTAATTTTATTCGTACAAATTTTAGATCAGTGGGAAGATTAACCCCAGAGAGACATCGTACAATATTTAACAGAGATGCAGATGTTTTAGCTTAAAGAGACAAACGTGTACTCCAGCCATACACGCCTTGACTCATGGCGCTACGGTCGTTTGTGGAACGGTAGACTAACATCTAGTCTCTGAAATGAACATATCGTACATAAAAAAACAGTTGTTCAGTTATCTTAATAAAAATATAATAAAAAGGAGCCCAGTGACTCTCTTCATTTTCAGATACTGCAGTGATCTAGACTTGCCAAACATTATAGACTTGCATGGGCTGTATTTGATATATATTTGTATCAGGGTCTGTAAGACAGACTAGTGGAACGGGGCCTTGGACCTTTGGAGTTGAGGTGGAACGAGTGGTTTTGATAAGTGACTTCAATGTCTGTTACAGCTAAAGTTGGAATTTACATACAGCTGCATCATTGGGAAACTGAACAACACACAAGACCAACGTGTGCCCTGGTTGCTGGGAGTGCCAGAGTCTACTTACTGATGGCCCCAGCTGTGATGTCAAAGTCGAAGGCCCAGACCTGTCTGGGTGTGGAGTCGATGAAGTACATGACGCTGTTGTCTTCAGTCCAGGCCATGCCGTTGGGGCTGCTGAGGTTAGTGAGGTGTTTTCTGGCGCTCCCATGACCCTCCAGGCAGTACAACGAGCCCTGACCCTGCAGCCATTTGCTTTGGTCGATGCCGATGCCATTGAAAATAGACCCTGTGTTGAAACTATCAAGTAGTTATTGGTGTAGAGGTTGGTGCATCTAATATCAGATGTATTCGCATATTTTGTTATAAAGCAGAAAGATCTCTGGACCAGCACAAGCGGGGACTTGCTTGTACAATACCTCAAGGAAGGTCTGTGTAATGCAGTTTAAGTGTGTATTATTTACATAATGTTTATTTAGTTCATAAAGTTGTGTAGATTTGTGTATCTTCATCCTTATACCTAGTTTATTTACATCTTTGTGATGGTGATCTGTAACTTGTTCTCGTCGCTATATGGCTGGGATATGGACCAAACGACGTTTCGTTTGTCACTCACCTCATTATAAATGTTGCATTTCTCGATTAACAATTGCACTGCTAGTACGGTGCATGTGCCATGTATTGAAAGAACAGACCAGGGAACAAGACGAATTACAGATATTAAATTAAATATTTCACATTGTTCAGATAACCTCGAATTCCGAGTTACAAATAGGTGAGAAAATGTTTTTATTGCTCGGTCATCAAAGCATTCCACATTTCAGATTATGATGGAACGGTGTCCATTAATGCCTGATGAGTGACGTCACGTATAACGTCATCTTTAGTTTGTAATTGTCATAATGGACGTGCCAAGGACTGCTTTTAAACAATATAAAACTCATCCAAACACAAGGTGTTCAGTGAGCGTCAAAGCCATAACACGATTTTCGAGTACCAATGTTCACTACCTACTGGTTTCCCCGGGCCAGGCTCGATCACCTACAGGCCGTCAACAACATTCACTCACTCACTTACTCACTCACTCACACGAGACACAAGAATGTGAACCTACCAATCCAGAGTCTACCCGAAGCATCCACTTTGCCGTCATTGAACATATTGGTGTCGGCCTCGACTTTCTCAATGGTGGTGACCTTTCCACTGTCCCATGAGTCCACGATGCTGAGATCTGTCTTCTGACTCACCACAAAGCCTCCCTTCTGGCGGGGGATGATGACGCTCAGCACAGAGGCTGAAACATATGATATGACAGTTCAAACATTGCGTATCCTAACAGAAATAAAGAAGGACTTAAAGAGAAGCTTGTGTTTGACACCCGGAGATTGAATGGCAATGCAGAGAACACCCCATGTGGATCGCTTCAATGAAATTTAATTTGTTGACATTTCTTAACACAACACATACAGTAAACTTTGGCTATAAATAAAAGGGACCAATAATTGTTGCTCGTTATAACCGTAGTTTGTTATAAGCGTTTCAACTAAAGGATACCGCAAATGACCGGGACAATATAAAAACAGTTCGTTTTATCCGTCACTTCGTTATAACCGTGTTCGTTATACACGTAGTTTACTGTACACAATTCTGCAATAATTTGATGTGTCCCGTTCTTTGTTCCAAGAGTATGTATTAGAACGGCTTTGAGTATTTGATCACAAACTGATAGTAAGTGAGGAAGTATGGTTTTACCCTGCTTGCAGCAATATTCCAGCAATACCATGGCATATGGTACCAGAAATGGGCCTCACTCACTGTACACATGTGGGGACTCAAATCCTTCGGCGTGACGAGTGGACACTTTAACCACAAGCCCCATGAAGATTCCGGGTTAGAATAGGTCTTCAGCAACCCATGCTTGCCGTAAAAGGTGACTATGCTTGTCGTAAAAGGCGACTAACAGGATCGGGTGGTCAGGCTCGCTGACTTGGTTGATGCATGTCATTGATCCAAACTGCGTGGATCGATGCTCATAATATCAATCACTGGATTGTCTGGTCCAGACTCGATTATTTCCAGACCGCCGTCATATAGCTGAAATATTGCTGAGTGCGGCGTTAAACAACCAACCAACCAACCAACTTTAACCACAAGGCAACCCCAGCGCCCCTCCAACATTAATCACTGGATTGTTTAGTCGAGACCTCAGTCAGATAGCTGGGATATTGCTGAGTGTGGCGTTAAACCAACACACGTTGTGCACACGAGCTGACATATATGTATCAGGAGAGCTGATAATAAAAAGAGCTTGTTATTGGACTCACCTCCAAGGTTTAGTTGGCTGTCCTGACCTGTGGCTGGGTTGTATCTGTGGGCGACATCAACGAAATAGTCCACGTAGTACAGGCACTGCGTAGTGTCGTCCCAGTGGGGGCCCTCCCCATGCATTGTACTGTTCTTCGCAACGACCTCGATCTTTTCAGACATCTGAAACAGGAAGTTGAGCAAGCAATATAGATATGACGAGAGAATATGTGGCAAAGAGAATAGATTGCTTCACAGTACCAACTCTCGAGATGCAATTGAACACATCAGTAAATACACGTTCTACTAAATTATCACTCAGTACTTTTTGCTTAGCAAAGAGGCAGAGATCCCCAACACCTCTACTCACCTCTTTTACATGGGTGACCTAGAACTTATTGCCAAAGGAGACTCCACTCTAAAAAACAGATTCTTATTGTTGAGTCTTTTTTTCTTATTGGCATGTCCTTTGGGCTCGACAAATGCAACATTCTTAATATGAAACGTGGCAGGATAGAATTTGAGAGGATAGGTCAGTTTACTTGGGGGAGGAGTTATTGACCAAGGTCAGGCCTATACGTACTTAGGGATGTAGGTTAGAGATAAACTCCAGAATGCCACCACCACAATTGAGCCCACCACCCTCGCTCTTTCCCTCAATCGATTATATTTATCAGTTATAATGGGAGGTGAACTGGAATTGACGATGTTACATTCGTACACGGCAAAGATGAACTGTCACATGACAAGAACATCACTTGACAGGGCAAGGTCCAACAACATAAAGTTCAAACAGAATACGTTCCAGATTCTCACCAGTAATACAGAAGCATTAGAACTAATTCGACATTCGATGAAAAAGACAGTAACATTTGTATGAGAAGTGGAACAAGATCTGGCATTTAATGAACTCAAATGAATCATTACAGAATCACCAGTTTTCTCCTTCTACGACCCCAAGAAGCCCAATGTGATACAATCAGATGCAAGTCTAAAAGGGCTGGGATGTGTGTTGTGCCAAGAGGGGAGACCTGTGTGCTATGAAAGCCACTCTCTGAGCCCAGCAGAAGAAAACTATAGATTTTCTGAAGGTAAAAAATGGTATGAAATGGTTTCTTACATTGAAACTCAGATTGTTTAAGAATGATGAAAACAACGAATCTGTTTTGGCCGAACCTTCCCTCAGAAGTACTAATTTCTCACTCTTGTATGTAGCTGAGATTAACATTCAAATAACAGAGGCGTATTAAAAATTGTACACAGGAATGTCAGGTTGAGGGTAGTGGGTGGATGTTGGTTTATATTGTTCATTTAGACGTGTCTCAGCTGAGTATGTTCATTTAGTTGCCAGCAGTTATATTCCACTTCCTAACAAAATGAAGTATCAGAAAGCTAAAATAAACGAAGACCAAATTCGTTTTGTCTGGTCTATCTCAGCAGCTCTACATCCAGTGGATAAATAGCAAATATAAAACGTATGACTCAGAACTAATATGAAGGGAACAGACATGCCTGTGTTGATAATACAAATTTTGAGAAATAAAATGATATTCCAATCAATTTATTAGGTTTTGGTGCGAAGGATGAGGTATTTCCCTCACATATATCATAGTACACATATTCCACGCAGTAGGATTATTGTTGTTGAGCAAGGAAGATAAGGTAAAAGATTATTGAATTGCTAGCAACATGGAGACGTACATCTCTTTCTCCTTGGCATATTTGAGATTTATTGATTCCCTTCAGTTTCCCAATGCCAGCTTGGCCACTTTAGTTCTGAACTTGAAAGCAGACTGTACTGAAAGGTTCCAGGAGCTGAGCAAAGAATTTTAAGATGATAGCCATTTAAATTTACTTTCAAGAAAGGGTGCTATATCCATATGATCATATGGAGGATGAATCTAAATTTGATTGAAGGCAGTCCCCATCGAAAGAAGAGTTTTACAATGTATCAACAGATGAGTTGGCATCTGACTCAGACTATGAGCATGCACAGAATATCTGGACGGCATTCAACCACAAATCTATACTTGAAGCCTTATGTTCTTCTTCAGATGTTTTTGAGAATTTTAGGAATACTTCTATAGAATATTATCATCTTGACCCAGCGCATTTTGTATCTTTACCTGGCCTGAGTTGGGATGCCATGTTGAAAATGGGAAACGTTGAACTGTTATTACTGACTGATCTAGATATGCATTTTATGGACGAGGCTGGATTGCGAGGGGAATAGGCATGATTTCAGTGAAGCATGCCAAAACAAACAATCCTTATGTGAAAGACTATGGCCCAAACTCCTATTTGATGTATTAGGATACTTACAAGGTGTATGGATGGGCTATGTCTCAGTCATTACCCGAACGTGAGTTTCAGTGGGTCACTTCTAAGGAGCTTGACACTTTAGACTTTAAGAAAATTTCAAATGATGAGGACACGCGTTACACATTAGGAGTGGACATGGAGCACCCTGAAACTGTACATACAGTCACAACTCTCCCCTTGCTCCCGAAGCTAAAGTAGTTATTGATGATATGTTATCGCCTTATTCTGAGCAATTTAAAATGTGAGTTCAAATTTAACGTCACATCAGCATTACTTCAGCTATACAGCGACGGGACCAAGTTGATATATTCACAAGTCAATCATGAATCCAAACAACTTTTATCAAACATTCTGACTGTGGCCGATACGGCATCTTTGTAAAACAACCTCATCATGTCTTGACTGACAACCCAAGTAGGTATTGCCGATTGTTGGTTTAAATTCATGAAGTTTATTGATTCCTACCTGGGTGTTCCATCTTTTTGGCATTAGATCCTGAGTATAACTGTTGATAGTTGTTTTGAAATGGCTATATCGTTCCTATATATATATAGGAGTGGAGATAACGATTTGTCAAGAGCTGCTTTAGCTGCAGCATTGGCTTTTGAGTTACCTGTTATGCCTACATGACTTGGTAACCAGCAAAAGACGATGTGAAATTGGCCAGTAGAAAGATCGTTGAAAAGTTCTAAAATGTCAAGGATTATGCGATGATTTGAGAAGATGATGACATTTTTAGATTGGTTTTGTTGTTTAATATACTATGAGACTATTAATTTTGATGCTAAAAAGTATGACAGATAGTATGCTTCCTTGATGGACGGCCGAATTTTGATCAAAATAATCAGACAGGGTAGAGCCCATTTGTACTTGAAATTGTCTGTTGTCTGAAAATGAGATATGAATTGAGGTAATCTGCCCCTCAATCCAAATTCATGCAAATCTTTAATCAAATGCCTCCTCTAGGTCGAAAAAGATTGATACAGTATGTTGTTTATTGACAATAGAATTGTTATACAATGCTTTTAAACGCATCTAATGGTCAATGGAACTTCTGGGTTTTTTCTGAAACCACACTGGATGTCACTCAGGAGGTTATTGGTCTGCAGGTACCAGACTCATCGATTGTTGACTATGCACTCCATGGTTTTACAAACACAGCTAGTTAATGATATTGGACGACAATTGGATGGATCTGTATCATCCCGTCCAGGCTTTGGAATAGGAATAATAATAGCGTTGTGCCACAAAGGAGGGACATTTCCGGTTGTCCATATTTCATCAAATATACTAAGTAACGTTTCCAAACATGAATCGGGCAAGTGTTTCAGGAGCTGATAGTGGATGTTGTCGGCTCCTGCTGCAGTGTCATGAGATTGCCCTAGGGCAGTATATAATTCATGGAGGGAAAATGTTTCGTTATAGTCCTCAACATCATCAGAGTTAAAATTATTTTTTTCTTTTCCTGTTGTTTTTGAAACCTCTGAAATTGAGGGTTATAGTTGGATGATGAAGAATGATTGCCGAAGTTCACCAAGTTTGTTTGCAATTTAAGATAATTAGTGGTTAATAGTGTTTTACCATCTTTGAGATGGTTAACTCCAGATTTTGATCCTTTGCCCTTAATCTTTTGAATCATGTTCCACACCCTCGAATAGGTGTTTTGTGAGGCTAGCCACTTTTTCATCTGATGTAAACTGATTTCAAATTTGCCTTCCTTTTTCATCACATGATATAGATTTGATGGCCCCGAAAATGAAGCTTGGATTGGGATTAAAATAAGTATTGCGTAAATATTATGTCCAACCTTCAGCGGGTATGGTGAACATGGACATGGTAAGCAAATAAACTTACGTGGCTGTTGTAAGCTATCAATCTCCACCCAGACGCGTATGTATACATACCTTAATGCTATCAAGTAGACAGGCAACTCGCCCTGTGACCTCGTTTCAGGTTGTACACACACTCCCGGTTTGGTGGTTTGTTGTTTAACGCCACACTCAGCAATATTCCAGCTATATGACGGCGGTCTGTAAATAATCGAGTATGTCATCGTATCCCAATTGCGTGGATCGATGCTCATGATGTCAATCACTGGATTGTCTGGTCCTTACTCGATTATTTACAGACCACCGTCATATGGCTGGAATATTGCTGAGTTTGGTGCTAAACAACAAACAAAAAAGACTGTGCACGTTTTTATCTCTTGCGCTTTGAGCATATGCGGTTTGGAGTTCAGCGCAGTACAAACAATCCGTTAACCTATCTTGGTCGTGCTAGACGGGTCTTTATGCTCGGTCACTTTGTGTCATTGTACCCAAATCCTCACTACTAGAGTGAGTGAGTGAGTGAGTATGGTTTTACGCCGCTTTTAGCAATATTCCAGCAATATCACGGCGGGGCACACCAGAAATGGGCTTCACACATTGTACCCATGTCGGGAATCGAACCCGGGTCTTCGGCGTGACGAGCGAACGCTTCAACCACTAGGCTACCCGACCGACCCTCTCACTACTAGATGTTTGGTCGTCTGTAACAGCGGACAGCAGTGTTGTATGCACTCACTGTAATGTGTCTTGTCCCCAACACTCGCTGATATGCTCCTGTCTCTGTGTGGGCGTCCTTCACGTGCTGATGTATTATGGTCTCTGATATATATATATACATGTCGGCGGATTGCATGACATAAGCGTGATGCACAATAGCTCTGGCTTTGTGGGTAGTATTTTGATAGTCTATTTGCATAGCTGAGCTAGGATGTGTCCTTGAAAGTGTACTATGGTACTCTGAAGTAAGGCAACGTCCGCACGTAGCCCGGCCCAGCCTCGACTTTTATATCATAACCCCTGGTATTACAAATCATTTACCGTATTCGATGTAATAAGCGCCCCGCTCTAATAAGCGCCCATGGCGATATTTGCTGATATATTGGCTAGTGAACAATCCCAATTAGCACCCCTTCCGACTGATCAATGTACACAAGACTTATTTATTCGTGTATAATACGCACTCGTGTGTTATATGCACCTTTCATTATGGGCAATTAAATTCTGAAGAAATATATCTGTCGTATATAAACATTTCAGGCTGTCAGCATAAACCACGAAATTTATCTTTCAACTCTGTTTTTTCCACCAAAATAATATTCTAATAAGAGCCCCCTATTTCTAAGCCCTGGGCGCTTATTACGTCGAATACGGTATCTAGGGCTATAGTTCGACCTCGTTTGCCCTTACTCATGTAAACAAACGGGCTCAAATCTTTCCTTAAATAAACGTGATCATTTTGAGTAACTGACTTTGACATTGCATATAGAGTAATTTGTTAAGACGTCTGCCTCGGTGGTCTAGTGGATAGAGCTTCTGCCTTGGAAACGGAAGTTCGGGGTTCGATCCCCGGTCGTGTCATACCAAAAGGCGTTACTAATGGTACTTGTTGTTACCCTGTCTGTCTCAAAGACACTTTGTACTCCAATGCTCTCACACAAAGTGAAAGTCAATTCCTAAATAATTTCAATAATCTTGAATGCGACATGAATCTCACCTTGTCAAGGCAGACCTGGGTAGTCAAGGCAGACCTGGGTAGTCAAGGCAGACCTGGGTAGGGAGGTACTGTGTTAATGAGGTAGTGCGCATTGGGGACAAATAAAAAGACATCTCAAATTTTCTTCAAGCTGCTGTACGTCACCTTTCACCCAATATCTTGCCATTGAATTTGAGAACAATTACAAATCATATCATGTGGTATCTGCCTGTGATTTAAGATTAAAATAATTGTCAAACAAAAATGTTGAACGATCATCTGGACGATCATCGAAAATTTTGTCAAACTTGTCGAATATAATATGGCCTTATATTGACCGTACAGGCGGGGATGTCAACAGGTTAGAAACATCGTGACAAGTACCAAGAACAAGTCACATTACAGTAGTGTTGTACAGCAGTGTAATGTATTGTTAAACAATGATTGTAACTGTATTACATTGTTCATTGCACTGTATTTGGACAATGGTTAGTTTTCAGGAATGTTGTACTATTTAATATAAGGAGTAGTGAGGAAGTTCTTATATTTAGATGCCCGAAATATCTGTAAACCTCCGGAAAAGCATGGATGGATGCCAAGCGCTATAGAAACATGTGGAATATTCTGTGATGTTCAAGTGACACTGGACTGGTCAAGCACTGTGTAGAAAGTGCTGGAAGTTGGTAAGACTATATTAGTGGAGCGAGCGCGTCCCTGATTCATTTCACATTTCATCTGACATTACAGCAAGACCAATTTTCGTGTGGAGATCACTTTTCACCCTGATGGCAAGCCAAGGCCAATCTCGGAATCTTGACAAATGTTGAGGCTAGGTGAGGTTAGGTGAAGTGCTCTCACATTATATACTTCCATTGAATAGTGTACTACAAATCTATTGTGCACTGTAATTGATCTGTAGTAATGTGTGTTGATTTGTAAACCTAGTTAATTTTGTAATACAATTGTTAATTGTAGACCATTTGTTGGTTGTTTGTTGGTTTCACACTAAGTTCTCTAACATGCATATTTCTGGGTTATCATAGTGTTTCAATTTGGGAATTGGCACGTAACAGTAACGTGTACCACGGGGCTCGTAAAAAATCGCTAACCCTGCAGTATGACCTGATAACAACATTTATAGGATACCACATGAAACTGATTGCAACAGAAAAATGTAATCACTTTATGAACTTGCACAAATACTACCGTCAAGAAATAAGGCGAGTGAGTTGGGTTTAACGCCGCTTTTAACAGTATTCCAGTAATATCGGGCGTGTCAGCTTAATGTGGGAGGAAAGTCCGAAGTGATGCAGGTCTAAGACGTTTACCACGAAGAAACCCCGTGGTGAAACCCACGGGCACGGGTATGGTGCTGACAAACCTAGAAACATAACCGGGGCGAACCGGGATTCGAACCCAAATCACAGGTTTCTGGCGTGCCCAAGGGACGCAAACTCTGCACAGCGAATTGCGGCGCCTTAGACGACTGGGCGACCCGTGCCACCTCAAGAAATAAGGGAAGACCCTAAGAGTCAAATAAAGTGACATCTCACATGTTCTTCAAGCTTCTGTACGTCGCAAGTGACTGACGGAAATTATCGTACCTTTAACCTTACCTTAAAAGAACAAAAACATCTTGCATTTGCATTTGAGAATAATTACAAGTCGTATCATGTGATATCTGTGTGTGTTTTAGAGTAAAATAATTGTCAAACAAAAAGGTTGTCAGAGTTTCTGGTCCATCATCAAACGTGTCGAATAAAACATGGCCTTATATTGGCCGTGCAGACGGGGATTTCAACAAGTTAGAAACATCGTGGAAAGTACCGAGAACAAGTCACAGCACAGCAGCATTGGCCACGGGAGGCGTCAATAGTCGCCAACCCTGCAGTATGACCTGATAACAACATTTGTAGCTGACGACATAAAACTGTCTATTTGAGGCTGACAGAAGCGACCAGGGACTGCAACAGCAAGATGAAATAGGGTAATGGACTTGAAAAATACTACCGTTAAAAATAGATGAAGTGAAAGTGAAGGTGTAATGATGATAAATGTCTGTAAAATTTATTTCGGGTGGTCGATCAATATCTGGTGTGTTCACCATGTTGGGCGATACATGCACGACACCTTGATGGAAAACTGTTGATTAACTTGCATGGTTGCCCTTGGTATTGCTCACCTTTCCGCCAGAAGAGCTACCCTAAGCTGGGCCATGCTGGCGGGTGATTGGTCTCTGACGTACTCTCTCCTCCAGAGAACATCCCACAGAGGATCTACTGGGGTCATGTCTGGGGACGACTTGCGCCAGTCCAATGTCCGTATGCCCTCGCGTCGGAAATAAATCTACACTCCAGTGTCACCCAAGGGCATGAAACGTATTGTGTCATATATTTTGCAAATATTTGGATACATATTTCTCTTTCTTTAGTATGCAGTGTGTTTTCACGTTCATCACAAGGTGTGCGTTCGTATGAAGTATCTGTACAGTGTATTACAAGGAGTTATCGTTCTTTGATGGTTGCCTCAATCAAAATGTGGTGAAAAGGTGAGGTGAAATGGGGTTTAACGTCGCGTCCAAGATTATTGCACTTATATAGCGACGTGCATGCACATGTTTGTGTTTGTGTGTACTAGTCCGGACTGATGCCGATTTATAGTGCTAGCTCACTGAGATACCATGCCGCAGTTTAACATGAATACCCCACTCAGACACAGTATACTAACTCCGAGTGGACGCTCTACCACTAGACCACGGAGGCGGTCCAATCAAAATGTGTTCATGACGATGTCATTATATCTGTACAGTACCATATATTACGTATGTTTTCAAAGGATTAGTACTAGAACTACTCCTTGTATAATTAAAATGGCATATTAGAGACCAGTTGTATTTATTTATATATGTGTATATGTTAGTCCCAAACTTTACTTATTCCCTATACATGTGTTTCAGGGTATCTATTTAGTAGACAAAGAATGAGTGAGGGAGTGAGTGAGTATAGTTTTACGCCACTTTTAGCAAATTCCATCAATATCACGGCAGGGGACACCAGAAATGGGCTTCATCCATTGTACCCATTTGGGGAATCAAACATGGGTCTTCGGCGTGCCGAGCGAACGCTTTAACCACAAGGCTATCCCACCGCCCCTGTCTACAAGATGACAGAGCTACAATGTGCTGAGAGCTGTTCTCGATATTGTTATCGACTTTCTCCATTGATATGTGTACACAAAGTAACACAAAATTAATTTGGTACTAGTGCTTTTGTTTTATCTGGGGCTCTGGTACAAAGAGTCATGTAACAATTCAGCAATATCAGTGGCTAAAACAACAATGTGCAGACCGCCTCCGTGGTCTAATGGTAGAGCGTCCGCCCGGAGAGCTGAAGGTCCAGGGTTTGTCATACCAAAAAACGTTAAAAGATGGTGCTTGTTGTTACCCTGTCTGGCGCTCGGCATTAAGGGGCTAAAACAAGGACTGGTCGGCTCGGAGTCAGTATACTGTGTCTGAGTGGGGTATTCATGTTAAACTGCGGCATGGTATCTCAGTGAGCTAGCACTATAAATCGGCATCAGTCCGGACTAGTACAAGCAGCCACACAAACACACACACGTACATGCACGTCGCTATATAAGTGCAATAATCTTGGACGCGACGTTAAACCCCATTTCACCTTACCTCACCTCCACGAAGCTGCTCACAAACTGACAATTTCATGTCATATTTCTATCTTAAGATGTCCAGTATCTTATTGACGTTATGAATCAAAAGCAAACAATATGTTGTATCATTTAGATCAAAGCGCAAGTGAACCACGTAATAAAAATAGTGAATGAGTGAATATGGTTTAACGCCGCTTTTAACAATAGTCCATCAACGCCATGACGCGGACACCATATTTGTTTGTTTGTTTGTTGTTTAACACCGCACTCATCAATATTCCAGCTATATGACGGCTGTCTGTAAGTAATCGAGTCTGGACCAGACAAACCAGTGATTGACATCATGAGCATCGATCCACGCAATTGGGATCAATGACATGCATCAACTAAGTCAGCGAGCCTGGCCACCCGATCCCGTTAGTCGCCTTTTACCACAAACAGAGTCGCCTTTTACGGCAACCATGGGTTTCTGAAGACCTATTCTACCCCGGAATCATCACGGGTCGACACCATAAAGGGGCGTTACACAAATAACTGGAATACATTAATGAGGGCTATACGTTTCAAAACAGGATACGCATGGTTTGAACAGGGAGTTAGAAATAATTGTTTTTACCTCAAGTACACCAAATGGGCAAACACTGCTCCAAAGAAATTCACTCACTCACTCACTCATCCCTACGCACAGACCTAAGTGCGTGAATCACGACATCATTGTGAACCACACCTCCATGTCAGAATGATGAGGTCTGATTGGTCCACGTGATCGTGATAAAATACCATGTATCCTGCCTTGGAGGGAAATAGATTTCTCAGCGGGAGAATAAGTCCTTGATACTCCGCAACGAGCAAGACAGGCTGCACGTGGATTTCTCAGAGTCATAATAAATCCCATATACCCCGTTTCGAAGCAAAAAGCCGCACGCTTTTTCCGAGTCAGTGAAAGTCACGTGACATAGCACAAGCCAACCTCCGATCTGTCGAACAGCTGTTTTCTATCACTTTTGAATTTGTATAATTCTTTTACAATGTCATATTAAAACATGTCGGTAAGATAATTCCTTGTAGCAGGATCACATTGGATTTAATGTGTTCCTCGTAAGGTTTGATACCACTCTCCTCCTATCTCATCAAAATTTGATCTTAGTTCTCGCTATATAGCTCGACAAAGATCATTCGCGACCAACTCGTGTTGTTCCGGGACAAGCCGAATATCTTCTTGCAGGTTACGGAAAGGGGTGACTGCATTCGTCACCACTCGTCCCTTTCCGTAATGGGGTCACGAATGGGGTGAGAGGAGACGAATGAGCAAAAATCTGAGGACATCCCATTAAGCGTCGCTTACCAGATCATGAAAGTGACAGTCGGAATGTGTTTTCTAATCATGCAACCTTGAACATGTTAAAACGGGGTATTCCGAACGACAATTACGGCCCGTACGACTGATTCCGTCAAAATTATCGTCTGTCTCTCGCTTCCGTGGGATAAACATTTAAACAGAGGAGGCGTTGCACAGTACGTGGGAAGCACTGCCATACACTCTCAACCATATATTAGACATTCCGGAATGTTCGTTTGTTTAGTTTTCAAAATTTTAATCGAGAACTAAAGGTCGATATTTCAAGCGTAGTCTGAAATGGAAGTCGCCAGGTTGAAACGAGTGTCGTAAAGCTCGAGAAAGATCTTTGTTTAGCGGAAGTGAGAACTTAGATCTGATTTAAGTGAGATTGCACTCTCCTCTAGTATAAAACCTAACGCGGGGTGCATAAAACCTCATGTACCCATCGTGATCCTGCTACAACTTATGATATTACCTGTAACGCATCTTTTGTGTCATGCCCGACCACACATGCCGAAATACATTTATACAAGTCTTCAAACGGCCATAGATATGGATCCTTTGTAAGCAATCGGGATAATCAAACGGCTTGCGCTGGTGTGAGTACAAGAGTTTGTTCCTACTCATTGATTGATTGAACCAATATCACAGATATTACCTGAGGGTAACGCTCAGCCAGTCATTCAACCCACTTTATTCAGTATAATGCCTTGGGCCCATGTACAAAAGGGTTTACAAATATATATATGAGAGTGGGGGTCTACCATTCATGGTGTTACATGCACGTGTTGTATAAGGAGACAAGTGAACTTTGAACAGTGTGTTCAGAGTCAACTCTCTGTGCCACCTGCCGACAGAATGTGTTATGTACATATATTTATATATATTTTTAGTGAGAGCGAGTTTATGTTGAGTGCGGCGATCAGAGAAGGGGCAGCGAATATTCAAGCTACGCATAGCGGCATTGCTTGTTGCTCTTCTCATTGTAAGTACTGAAGATTCGATATTACTATACAGTAAACTACGTTTATAACGAACACGTTTATAACGAACTGACCGATATAACGAACTTATGTTTAGTCCCGACAATTTGTTGTATAAATGCTGTATATATGCTTATAACGAACTACGGTTATTACGAACTAAAATTGGTGGTCCCTTCGAGTTCGTTATAACCGTAGTTTACTGTATTATGTTCTTGTATTAACTGTGTACAGGCCGCCGTCGTGTTGTGTGCGGCGTTTGACAACAAACAAATACTTACACTTTTTAAAAAATAGTATGAGTTACAGGTACTACCGGCAGAGCAGTACATTCTTACCTTTCGCGAACACCTGGTGTCATCACTGATTTTCTGTGATACATTCATATGATTGTGGCCACTATTTGCCTTTTACGCCCAAAACAATGTTTCTGCAGATAATCCAGACTGAGTATTCTCTGCCATTAACGTTTTGAGTGAGTGAGTATGTTTTTACGCCACTTTTAGCAATATTCAAGCAATATCACGGCGGGGGACATCAGACATGGGTTTCATCATAATTGTACCCATATGGTGGATCGATTAACGTTTTGAATGTATTTTATTATACAGGTAGACATTATGGATTTTAGAGTAAATGAATGTCGTTATAATGTTGTTGTAATAACAGACCGATGCGATGAGATGCAACCTCGACGTGACGATTACTTAGGAGATATACCTAATGTGTTAATGTGTATTAATCCGTTATACTAGCTGTAATTTCAAAGACCGCCTCCGTGGAAGGTCCAGGGTTCGATCCCCGGGGGAGTCTTACCAAAAGACGTTAAAAGATGGTACTTGTTGTTACCCTGTCTGGCGCTCGGCATTAAAGGGCTAAAACAAGGACTGGAGTCAGTATGCTGTGTCTGAGTGGGGTATTCATGTTAACTGAGGCATGGTATCTCAGTGAGCTAACATTATAAATCAGCATCAGTCCTGACAAGTACAAGCAGCCACACACACAAACACACACACACACATACACACACACACACACACACACACACACACACACACACACACACAGTCACACACACAGCCGTGCATGCACGTCGCTATATAAGTGCAATAATCTTGGACGCGACGTTAAACCCAATTTCACCTCACCTCACCTCTAATTTTAAAAGACAGTAGGTTTATTTCAGTTCTACCATGACAATTGCATCAACAAGTTGAGTTGAAACTCTTTCATAGCTTTGGTGTCAGTACGTGTTACGGCCTCGCCTTCCAAACCCAAGTGGCATCGCCCTTGAAGCTGAGATCACCATCACTAAATCTATCTTCGAAAACAGATGTCTAATTTCCGACAGAAAAATCGCCCTGATCCATCGTCGTTTGAGTAGTTTGTTTGGTGTCCGCCATGCTGGTAAAAGGCGACTTTGCTTGTCGTAAGAGGCGACTAACGGGATCGGGTGGTCAGGCACGCTAAAATGGTTGAAGCATGTCATCGATCCCAATTGCGTGGATCGATGCCCATGATGTCAATCACTGGATTGTCTGGTCCAGACTCGATTATTTCCAGACCGCCGACATATAGCTGGAATATTGCTGAGTGGGGCATTAAACAACAAACAAACAACAAACAAAAGTGGGCTACCGGCTTTTAAGTTATGACACCATCAAGTCAAATATACATCGAAGTCTATTATTTAAAGTATATATGTCATTAATAATTCATAGACTGCCTCGCCTATTCTATTATATTCTATTCTTTGCTTGACAAGATATAAGGATCTATACCGAAACGTCGCCTTTACAGTAAATAAAGAAGTTGTTATCCATAAATTGTGTCTACTTTGTCATCCGTCAACTTCTAAGTAATGCCTGTCAAACAATTCACTGTACATGTAATCACAATTCTAAGATGCTTCGTTAAAAGATCAAGGGCGCGGACAATACTTTATAAAGTACATTTTTTCAGTTACGTTATAATGGGCTGACGTCACGACGCTGTTCAAATTACCTCCTTCGTGATTTAAGGTAACCTTGGTTCTATCATTCATGTCAATCAAGATTGCACAAGCGTTCTCGGGCTTGAACTATAATAATTAACGGCAAACTATATTAAATGGAAAGGGATTGAATGAGTTAAGTTTAACGCCGCTTTTAACATTATTCCAGTTATATCACGGCGTGTCAGCTTAATGTGGGAGGAAAGCCCGAAGTGATGCAGGTCTCAGACGTTTACCACTTCGGTGAAACCCACGAGCACGGGTATGGTGCTGACAAACCTAGAAACATAATCGGGGCGAACCGGGACTTGAACCCACAATCATAGGTTTCTGGCGTGCCCAAGGGACGCCACTCTGCACAGCGAATCGCAGCGCCTTAGACGACTGGGACACCCGTACCCCCCTATTATATGGAAAGGGTTTTGTCGCTTTTATTATACTACACATGGAGAGCAATGTTTATGTAATAAGTATTGTATTGACGACAATTTCTTTAATAATATTCTTTTGATGTTTCACCTACTATCATCTTTATCAAGTTGTATTTTCGTAATTTTACAATTAACATTTCTTATTGAAGCTGACGTCATTACGATGAATGACCCCGGAGCGTCACGTGACACAAGAACAAGACATGACACTTATACTGTTCCGGTGTGTCTGGACGATGAAGTCGATGAAGTTGATGCAGTTGATGCTGTCGATGCTGTTGATGCTGGGATAGACACGGCGTTATGTCTGGCATCAGTCCAAGCACCTGCTCATACGCTGGATAACACAATCGCTACCATTGTTATTGACGATGCCAAACAAACCCCATTGCACCTGGCACCGTCTAGGGGAGACAGAGAGGCTGTTCAGAAGTTGCTCGATGATGAAGCTGATGTCAATGCTGTGGACGTGTCTAAACAGACGCCATTACACCTTGCAATACGCCGGGGAGATAGTGCCACAGTCAAGTCGTTACTGATTCATAAAGCTGACGTCAATGCTGTTGATTGCTACCTTCAGACGCCATTACATCTAGCTACAGACAACTATGGAGGTACTTCCACGCTTGAGATGTTGCTGGATCATGAAGCTGATGTCGATGCTGTTGATGATAACGGTCAGACGCCATTACACATAGCAGCGGCAAATCTTGGAGGAGCTGACGCTGTTAAGATGTTGCTGCAGCACGAGGCTTCTGTTGATGCTGTAGATGCCCACAGACAGACGTCACTGCATCTGGCCGTATCCATGGGGATTATTCACACCGTTCAGCTTCTGTTGGAGAACAAAGCTGACGTTAATGCTTATGATGAAAAGATGAGGATACCATTGCACCTGGCTGTAACCAGAGACTCCAGCCTTGTCCAGATGTTGCTGGAATGTGATGCCGACGTTAACGCCGTTGATGACGTCGGGGACACGCCGTTACACCAGGCAGTATCAAATGGAGTATTTGACACTACTAAACTGTTGTTGAAGAATAAAGCTGATGTGAACGCTGTAAATGACTCCTTACAGACGCCTCTGCATCTGGCATCAGAGAAGGGAGACTCCGATATCGCACAGCTGCTGTTGTGTCATAGGGCTGATGTTGAAGCTGTCGACTATAATAATCAGACGCCGTTACATTTGGCAGCAAAGTGGGGGAACACTGACACTGTTGTAGTGTTGGTGAATGGTGACGCTGATGTCAACGCCGTGGATAACCAACAACAGACGCCATTACATATTTTGGCATATGAGGGAGAAGGTTCTGTTGGTGTGCAAGTGTTGTTGGATAAAAAGGCTGATGTTAATGCGGTTAATGACTACACACAAACACCGCTACACCTGGCGGCAGAACGACATGAAGGGTCTGACGTTGTTCGGGCGTTGCTCGGTGGTAACGCTGATGTGAATGCTGTTGATTACAATGACCAGACGCCACTGCACTTGGCCATGTTTGGGGAAAACAGTGACACAATTAGGATTTTGTTGGAAAATAAAGCTGATGTGAACGCTGTTGATGAGAGCAATAAGACGCCTTTACACATTGCGGTACAGAAGAAGGCTGATATTGTTCAGATGTTGTTGAATTATGGTGCTGATGTCAATGTTGTAGATGCTGAACAATGCACTCCATTGCAACTGACGGCGGAGAGAGACACTGATATTGTCCAGGTGTTATTGAAGCATACTGATGTCAACAGTGCAGACTCGTGTACGCCACTATAAATTGTCCCTTTGTGTGGGTACATTGGGATATGAACGTTCATGTGAGTGCCAACTGTATGAACGTCGGAGCTTAAGACGACGTTCATGCAATGTTTGGCCCCCGCTCTAAGACAGTTCATGCCCCAATGAACTCACACAAAGGGAAAGTGAAGTCTTTTTCAAAAAACTACTACAGTAAACTACGGTTATAACGAACTCAAAGGGACGACTAACTTGTGTTTGTTTTAACCGTAGTTCGCTATAAGCATATATACAGCATAACTATAGCAGGGACAAAACAATCAGTTCGTTATATCCGTCAGTTCGTTTTAAGCGTGTTCGTTATAAACGTACTTTACTGTATCACACTTTTATACCTCGGAGGATGTATTACACAATTTCATTTAGTACCGGCGACACTTTATGTTTACACTGAACTTACAAGAACCAACTGTAAAGCAGAATACATTAGTTCATCAAAAGGTTTGTTTGCTTGTTGTTTAACGTCGCACTCAGCAATATTCCAGCTATTTGACGGCGGTCTGTAAATAATCGAGTCTGGACCAGACAATCCAGTGATTAATATCATGAGCATCGATCTACGCAATTGGGATTGATGACATGTATCAACCAAGTCTGTGAGCCTGACCACCCGATCCCGTTAGATACCTCTTACGACAAGCATAGTCGCCTTTTACGGCAAGCATGGGTTGCTGAAGACCTATTCTACCCCGGATCTTCACGGGTCGTTCATGAAAAGGAGAGGATCTGTGAACGTATGTATGCTCAACTTGCTCAAAAGGAACATCTTATGTAGTTTGGTTATCACAAAAAGATTGAAATAATATCATCATGAGATGAAAAAGGTCTCTTAACAACTACTCAAGAAAGTCAGTCACAGTCAGCGCGTCATAAAACATTTACATCAAATACAGGACGTCAAAATGTACGACACGATAAACACGACCGGACAGATTACCAAACCAGTTCATGAACCTGTGGCGATTACAAGTGTTAGTCATCATTGATCAATTGGCCGATCATTTAAAGGTGATAATAAAAGTGTGTCACATAGATATTAAGGTATATTTACAGACTGCAGTAAACCGTCACTTGTCAGTTTAGTTTTGTGTCAGTAGTTAAGTTGTGCATTTCTTCGATTTGATCACTAGGATGGGTCCCGGTGAGGATATTGTTGAATAGGCATGAAGTCAAACTCTCGGCCTTATCGCCCTGTATGTAAAAACGCTTAGTTCTAGATTAAAGAGTCTAGGTCATCAGAAACAACGCTTCTGAATTTATTCATGCAAGGAACTTTCCAGGGGTTCCCTTGAGAGTGTGAAAGTAGTCGGCAAGGGTTTACGTCATTTCAAGAATACCATCTGGTGAAATGAAAATGTCAATTCAGATTTTATCCTCAGACAGCTTGTTATTTTGACAGCCATAGTCAAAGTTGATATTGATACGGCTGTTCATTGACGCATTCATTGACATATTTCAACATTGTGGATCTAGTGCGAGCAAAATATTAGAAATAACCATATTATTTATCTTTTGTCATTGATATGGTTTGATGATGAATGTTGCAACACAAAGAAAGAGAAATATCATCTCTTAACTCATTCATAACTTGGCAACAAAGGAACATTTTAAAAACTGTAGAAATTGTAGACACACATGTAAAAATCTGTGTTCTAAAAAGAAGATAAAATTTGAGGAATATATTGGACAGAAGATAGGAAAGACATCAGTAAAGTAATGATTATATAGGTTTTTTGAAAATTATTTAAACAACATTGTAATAACACTTAAGTTACAAATAACATTACTGCTTTTCAGTGGCAGGAATTCTTTAAAGATTTTCTAAATCCTAAAGAAGGTAACACATTTTCCATATTGAAGAGTTTTTACATGATCATAACTCAAAAACATGTGATTCGTGTTCGCATTCTAAACGTGATAAATCTCCAGGAGATGATGGATTGCCTCACAATGTTTCAAAAATACTTTTGACTTATTACACCATTTTTAAAGGTATTATTCAATGAAATTCTACAAAAAGGTTACAACCCAAAAGCATTGGCATCAGCCATTATTGTGCCTAGATACAAAAAAAAGGAAATACAGAAGATCCCAATACGCACAGGGGTGTCTCATTATTGCATACGAGTAAGACGTTGTGTCCGACTTTGTGGAATATCAGGACCGCCTCCGTGGTCCAGTGGTAGAGCGTCCGCCCGGAGAGCGGAAGGTCCGGGTTTCGATCCCAGACCGCGTCATAACAAAAGACGTTCAAAGATGGTACTTGTTGTTAACCTGTCTGGTGATCGGCATTAAGGGGCTCAAACAAGGACTGGTCGGCTCGGAGTCAGTATACTGTGCCTGAGTGGGGTACTCATGTTAAACTGCGGCTTGGTATATCAGTGGGCTAGCACTATAAATCGGCATCGGACTAGTACAAGCAGACACACAAACACACGTGCATGCATCTTGGACGCGACGTTTAACCCCATTTCACCTCACCTTGTGGAATATCATGGTTTTTTGTCAGGATTGATCACTCAATTGATAGTATTTTTATTTCACAAGCTGGTACAAAAATATTCAAGAGGTCAATGGGGATTTTACTGTGGCTTTGTAGATTTTGTAAAGGCGTTCGATAGGTTTGACAGAAGTTTTATTCTCTTATAAGAAATTGTGTATATGAAAAATTCTTCACAATAATACAAAGTATATATCTACAATTTGAATCGATGGTTGCACCTCATAAAAAAATTTAAATGGACTGAATATTACATTCACCAAGCTGGTGTACGCCAAGGTTGTATTTTAAGCCCAATCCTCTTTTCATTGTTCATCAAACAGCTGGTGACACATTTTACACAGACGTTTGTTGACGATATATGTGTATCACAGGAAATGTGATTCATTGTTGCTCAATGATTTGCAGATGACCAAATACTTATAGCTGAATCTACAATAAGATTACAAAGAAGATAAGAATTATTAATTGGTGGGGTTGGAAATCAATGATGATAAAACAGAGATTAAGGTATTTAATAACGGGCCAAATTTATCAAAATATGAGAATTGGCCATATAGGGAAATAATATGGCACGGTATCCTTCAGCTACATTTAAGATGCCAATATCAGCATTTTCGAGTCCCAATGTTTATTATTTGATTTCAGGGTTTCACCTTATTGGTTTCCCTGGCCCAGGCTCGATCACCTCCTACCGCCGTGACATAGCTGGGATGCTGCTGACTGGCGTAAAACAATACTCACTCACTCACTCAACACGAGGCACAAGAATGTGAACCTACCAATCCAGAATCTATCGGAAGCATCCGCTATGCCGTCATTGAACATATTGGCGTCGGCCTCGACCTTTGCAATGCTGGTGACCTTGCCGCTCTCCCAGAGGCTCCACGCATGAAACATGATGACATGACAGTTCAGACATTCGGTATACTGATGGACAGAAATAAGGAACGACTGTGTTTGTCACCCGAAAATTGTTTGGCAATGCAGAGAATACACCAGGTACCGCTTCAATGAAAAATAATTCGTTGACATTTCTTAACACAACACATACATAATTCTGCAATATTTCGATGTGTTCCGTTCTTTGTTCCATGAGTATATCTTGAAACGGTTTGGATTATTTTATCACAAACGGAGGGTGAGTGAGTGAGTGAGTGAGTGAGTGAGTGAGTGAGTGAGGTTTCGCTCTACTTGTGGCCATATTCCAGCCATTCCATGTCTTATGGCACCAAAAATGGGCCTCACAAATTGTACACATATGGACGCTTGGTCGAGACCGAAGTCAGATAGCTGGGATATTGCTGAGTGCGGCGTAAGGCAACATTGTACACACGAGCTGACGTATCAGGAGAGGTAATTATAAAAAGATCTTGCAATTGGATTCACTTACAAGGTTTAGTCGGCTGTCCTATCCTGTGGCGGGGTTGTTTCTGTGGACGTCAACAACGAAATAGTCCAAAACGTACAAACACTGTTAGTGTCATCCCAGTGGGGGCCTTCCCATTGCTGAGTACAATTCTTCAAGGCGACTTCGATCTTCTCAGACATAATCTGAAACAGGAGGTACAAGCAGTGTAGATATGACGAGAGAATATGTGGCGAGGTACATTTCTGTGTCGCCAAATTCCATACACTCAGTGAATGCTCATAGCGCTACATTCATTACATGAGGAAAATAGCTATATACAATGTCTATACAATAGAACAAATATGCCTTTAGCTCAGTCTTGAATGATGTTGATATGGTGCTGACTTTAGTTCGAGTGGGAGTTGATTCCATAGTTCAGCACCATAGTATTGGAACGATGTATGTCCAAATGACTTCAGTTTTGTCAGAGTAATGTTGAGGAGGATCTTACTGTCAGAAGACGCCTAGTTGGAGCGTACATTGAGATTAGGTCTCCCAGATATGCCTGTCTGTAGCATGATAGCATTGATAGAGTATAGACAGATCTTAACCCTTGTATTGACAGGTAGCCAGTGTAGTGACTTCAGCACTGGTGTGCTGTGTGCATGTTTTCTGGTGCAGGTTGTAATCCTGGTTGTGTTCTGAACAGATTGAAGTCAAGAGAGATACTTTGTGATGTTGTTGAACAGACTGTTGCAATGATCTAGTCTTGAAATCACAAGACATTTTTTACAGGAAGATATGCTGCTTCGTTTGACAGGAGATTGCGAATGTAACTAATATTTCGCAGATGGAGTTTGCATATTTTTTATATTCTCGTTATTTGATTCTCCATTGTGAGGCAAGGCTACAGATACACCCCAAGGATCTTCACTGATCTTTGGGTCTTTGCTGTCATTCAACTTCAGTTCGTTTTCTGTCATCCAAGCCTCAACAAGTTTTACACAGCAATCCATCGGATTCAATTTGATTTTGATTGTAAAAAGCTAATCGTAAGCTGAGGATCATCAGCTGGTCATGTTTTGATGGGCGATGCTTGTGCCGAGGTTTCCATTGTACAGCGTAAACAATATGGGCCCAAGTACTGACCCCTGAGGAACACCACATATCAAATTATCAATGTCACTGAAAACAAATAACCAACCTGCATAGAATTAACAAAGGAAACTGTATTACTTACCATTAAATCAAACAATTTTATGCCAAAAAACAAATACTTACCTACACAAATTTAAGATATATTTTGTTTCTAAAAACAAACGCTAAAAGCAAAAAATATTTCTAATGGCTCCT